GTCACTAAATAGCTGAGTCTGCCACAGACTTTCTTTTTTTTTAATTAGTTGCTCAAGACAATACAATGATCTTGACATATTTGATTCAAATAGGGTATGAATTCTCATTTTTCCATGTGTTCAGATTGCAGGATCACCTTGGTTATACATCCATGTGTATACATACAGCAATCCTAGTGTCAGTTGTATTCTGCTGCCCTCCCTATCTCCCCCTCCCCTCCCCTCCCCTCCCATCACTATTCTCTACCCATTCTAGTGTGACACTTATCTCTCTCTCTCTTTTTTTTTCTTCCCTTCCCCCTCACACCATCATATATGTATTTTGTGAACCCATGAGGGTCTCCTTCCATCTTCCGTGCAATTCCCCTTCTCCCTCCCTTTCCCTCCCTCCTCTTTTCCTTGTTTCATGGTAATCTTCTTCTCATGCTCTTCCTTCCTACTCTGTTTTGAGTCACCTCCCTTATATCAGAGAAGACATTTGGCATTTGTTTTTTAGGGATTGGCTAACTTCACTTAGCATGATCTGCTCTAGTGCCATCCATTTCCCTGCAAATTCCATGATTTTGTTATTTTATAATGCTGAGTAATATTCCATTGTGTATAAATGCCACATTTTTTTAATCCATTCATCTGTTGAAGGGCATCTGGGTTGGTTCCACCGTCTAGCTATTATGAATTGTGCTGCTATGAACACTGATGTAGCTGTGTCCCTGTAGTATGCTCTTTTTAGGTCTTTTGGGTATAGTCTGAGAAGGGGAATAGCTGGGTCAAATGGTGGTTCCATTCCCAGATTTCCAAGGAATCTCCATACAGCCCTCCAAATTGGCTACAGCAGTTTGCAGTCCCACCAGCAATGTACAAGTGTGCCTTTTTCCCCACATCCTCACCAGCATTTGTTATTGTTTTACTTCATAATGGCTGCCTTTCTTACTGGAGTGAGATCGTATCTTAGAGTGGTTTTAATTTGCATTTCTCTGATAGCTAGAGATGGTGAGCATTTTTTTTGTGTACTTGTTGATTGATTGTATATCCATCCTCCTCTGTGAAGTGTCTGTTTAGATCTTTGGCCATTTGTTGATTGGGTTATTTGTTTTTTTGTTGTTTAACTTTTTGAGTTCTTTGTATACTCTGGAGATTAGCACTCTATCTGAAATGTGAGGGGTAAAAATTTATTCCCATGATGTAGGCTCCCTATTTACCTCACTTATTATTTCTCTTGCTGAGAAAAAACTTTTTAGTTTGAATATGTCCCATTTGTTGATTCTTGATTTTAACTCTTGTGCTATAGGTGTCCTATTAAGGAATTTGGAGCCCGACCCCACGAGATGGAGGTTAGGGCCAACTTTTTCTTCTATTGGATGCAGAGTCTCTAGTTTGATTCCTAGCTCCTTGATCCATTTTGAGTTAACTTTTGTGCATGGTGAGAGAAAGGGATTCAATTTCATTTTGTTGAATATGGATTTCCAGTTTTCCCAGCACCATTTGTTGAAGATGCTATCCTTTCTCCATTGCATGCTTTTAGTACCTTTTTCTAATATAAAGTAGTTGTAATTTTGTGAATTGGTCTCTGTGTCCTCTATTCTGTACCATTGGTCTACCCACCTGTTTTGGTACCAGTACCATGCTGTTTTTGTTACTATTGCTCTATAGTATAGTTTGAAATCTGGTATCGCTATACCACCTGTTTCACTCTTCCTGCTTAGAATTGCTTTAGCTATTCTGAGTCTTTTATTTCTCCAGATGAATTTCATGATTGATTTTTCTATATCTGTGAGGAATGCCATTGGGATTTTGATTGGCATTGCATTAAACCAATAGAGTACTTTTGGTAGTATGACCATTTTAATGATATTAATTCTGCCTATCCATGAGCAAGGTATATCTTTCCATCTTCTAAGGTCTTCTTCTATTTCCCTCTTTAGTGTTCTGTAGTTTTCATTGTAAAGGTATTTTACCTCTTTTGTTAGGTTGATTCCCCAAATTTTTTTTTTTGAGGATATTGTGAATGAGGTAGTTGTCCTGATTTCCCTTTCAGAGGGTTCGTCACTGATATACAGGAATGCCTTAGACTTATGTGTGGTGATTTTATATCCCGCCACTTTGCTGAATTCATTTACTAGTTCTAGAAGTTTTTTGGTAGAACCTTTTGGGTCCATTAGGTACAGGATCATGTCACTGCAAATAGTGCTAATTTCAGTTCTTCTTTTCCTATTTTTATGCCCTTAATTTCTATCATCTATCTTATTGCTATGGCCAGGTTTTTGAGAACTATATTGAATAGAAGTGGTGAGAGAGGGCATCCCTGTCTTGTTCCAGATTTTAGAGGGAATGCCTTCAATTTTTCTCCATTTAGAATGTTACTAGCCTGAGGCTTAGCATAAATAGCTTTTACAATGTTGAGGTAAGTTCCTGTTATGCCTACTTTTTCTAATGTTTTGAACATAAAGGGATGTTGTATTTTGTCAAAAGCTTTTTCTGTGTCTATCGAGATGACCATGTGGTTTTTATCTTTAAGTCTATTGATGTGGTGGATTACATTTATTGATTTCCATATATTGAACCAGCCTTGCATCCCAGGGATAAATCCTACTTGATCATGGTGCACAATCTTTTTGATATATTTTTGTATCCAATTTGCCAGAATTTTATTGAGGATTTTTGCATCTATGTTCATTAGAGATATTGGTCTGTAGTTTTCTTTCTTTGAAGTGTCCTTATCTGGTTTAGGAATCAGGGTGATGTTGGCCTCGTAGAATGAATTTGGAAGTACTCCCTCTTTTTCTATTTTGTGAAATACCTTGAGAAGTATCAGTATTAGTTCTTCTTTAAAGGTTTTGTAAAACTCTGCTGTATACCCATCCATTCCTGGGCTTTTCTTGGTTGGTATTCTTTTGATGGCTTCTTCTATTTCCTCAATTGATATTGGTCTTTTTAAGTTGTGTATATCCTCTTGACTCAATGTGGGTAGATCATATGACTTCAGAAATTTATCAATGCCTTCACTATCGTCTATTTTATTGGTGTATAAGGTTTCAAAATAATTTCTAATTATCTTCTGTATTTCTGTAGTGTCTGTTGTGATATTGCCTTTTTCATCCCATTTGCTAGTCATTTGAGTTCTCTCTCTTCTTCTCTTCGTTAGCATAGCTAAGGGTCTGTCGATCTTATTTATTTTTTCGAAGAACCAACTTTTAGTTTTGTCAATTTTTTCAATTGTTTCTTTTATTTAAATTTCATTGATTTCAGCTCTGACTTTAATTATTTCTTGCCTTCTACTACATTTGCTGTTGTTTTGCTCTTCTTTTCAAGGGCTTTGAGATGAAGTGTGAGATCATTTATTTGTTGGTTTTTCCTTTTTTTGAGGAATGAGCTCCAAGCAATGAATTTTCCTCTTAGAACAGCTTTCATTGTGTCCCATAGATTCTGATATGTTGTATTTGTATTTTCATTTATCTCAATGAATTTTTAAATTTCTCCCTTAATGTCTTCTGTAACCCATTGATCATTCAGTAACATATTGTTCATTCTCCAAGTGATGTAGGGTTTTTCCCTTCTTCTTTTATCATTGATTTCCAGTTTCATTCCATTATGATCAGATAAGATGCATGGTATTATCTCTACTCCTTTATAATTGCTAAGAGTTGCCCTATGGCATAATATATGGTCTAGTTTTGAGAAAGATCCATGTGTTGCTGAGAAAAAAGTATATCTGCTTGCTGATGGTTGATATATCCTATATATGTCAGTTAAGTCTAGGTTATTAATTATGTTATTGAGTTCTATAGTTTCTTTTTTTTTCTGTAGCACAATTTAAATGTTTTACTTTTTTTGATAAAGCAGAGTATAATAGGAAAAAAAAACAATTAGTTTCCAGTAATATCTATATCTCTATTCAGAATTAAGTCTTCCACAGACATGTTACCTGGAAATAAAAGCCTGTTACAATAAGCAAAGCTTCAACCAGAGCGGCTACTTTTCGTGCCAGGAAGAAGTTCATTCCCATAGGAGGAATGATGTGCTATGTAAAATGGCTGTAAAGTCACAGCCTTGAGGGCACTGGAAGTATATTGTCCTATTCCACATTGAGTATTTCAGTGAACTTCAAACATCAGTTTATCTGAAACCATGCTGGCAACCTTTAACTGGTATTTCAATCAGAAAAAATAAATAAGAAATCCCTCAACTGATGTTTCTTGATTTACAATGTTAAAAGGTACACATAGTTCATTAACGTAATTCTGGTTCAGAATTACACTTGAGACTCCTCACTCAGATTCTGGTTAGCAGTACAAATCTTTCAGAAATTCAAGTTCTTCTTACTCAGTAATTTGTCAGCTAGGATACATTCAGGCAACAGCTGCAACTACAGAATAGATGCACTGCCTTGGAGCTTTGGAAAGACATTATAATCTAGACTACTACTAGCAGACAAAAATATCTGTTACTGACTGGATAGCATAAGTGCAGTACAGCAAGACAAAACACATATTCATATGTTGGCTTGTTTAAGCCTCAAGCCCTCAATCCTGTTGAAATTCAATAGTTTTATTCCTATGGTCTTTAATACCAAGAATTCAAGCTCCAAGAGTGCTAAAGTCTAACTTGTACTCCAAACCAAGCAGCAATGCAGTTTGCTACTATTGAGGCTGAATCCACACAAACTTCAAGACCAAGTCCAATAGACAATTATATAATACCCTCACAAAGTCTGAAAAATAATTACTCATATACATAGATGGTCCTTCAGAGATTTTACCTATAACAAATTTTTCAACGAACATTACTTAATGTATTGGAGATAACTGCAACTTACTAATCAAATATTTGAATACTTATACTTACCTGGGATTTCATTTCTGCTGAAAGAAATAGGAAGAACAGGACTCACTTAAAAAAAAAAAAACTTTAGAAAAGAAGGTAAAAATCTTATCACACTATCACTTTTGGAAGCAGCATAGAAGGGGCAGTCAAGGGAAAAACACTGGTAAAATAGGTCAAAATTAGGCAAAAAAAATCTATATTATCATCAATGACAGTACCATAACTGTGCCCTTCATAACTGATAATCACTCCTAAATTTTTCATTTGGCACCAGATGGTGTGTTTAAGAGAAACACTCTGGGATGTTTTCAATCATACTCGGTTAGCTAAATTACAGGAGAATTTTTAAAGGAGGTGGAGGAAGAGAGAAGGAAATGGAAAATGGACCAGAAAAAAAAATCAGTAATCTAAAGCAACAAAGCACTGGTAGCTCCAAACATCAGGTCAAACACTAAAACGACTGATATAGGCTCAAGTGGTTTATAAAACCTATAAAAAGACTACACCAGCAAAGTCCCTGTCAATCTGTCAAGAGTTCAGAAACTAAAACAGGGAGCCACATTTTAGCTTAAAACCTTATCTCAAGAAAATCAAAAACACTTCACATGAATAAAAATACCTGAAACCAAACATTTTTAAAAGCTCCAATACCCAAAATATAAAGAAAAAAAAATTAATTCAGAAGACTCAATCAATCCATGGAATCACAAAACGGCTGGACAATCTATATCTCCCTTCCATTCTAACCATCCCATGGAAGACCAAGGGAGATCAGACCTTCCAGACCTATGCACCACCTGGTTGCTGCAAAACTACAGAGATTCCTTGTGGAACAGCAGTTTTCCATCTCTGTGTCTCTCCCTATCATGCAGGAAGCAAATCTGGCTGTGCTATTATATTACCATTATATATCACCCATCTGCAAAATGGTACTGTACAGATAAGTAAAAATTGTGTTATCTAGTTCCCTTTCCCCCAGAAGGTTGAGGCTCAGGTATGGGGTAATTCTCCTGTGCATAGTCTTTATTTAGGCTGACTCAGTGACTTCAACAGGCTTAATCATGTGGTCAGGTTTGTTGCCAGCTGCATAATGCTCCCACATCTGTAGATAGAGCCGCTCTAGTTCCATTGTGTATTGTTTGGTGTTGAACAGAGGGCTAGATATTCTCTGCTTCCAGACTTTGCCACAAATTTTCTTTAGGTATTCTAGATCAGTTCCCAGTTTCACAGCTATGTCTTCATATTCTTGTCTATTTTTAGCAATAAGCTCAAGACAACCTAAGCAAGTGAGCTGGGAAGCTGCAACTCTGGAAGCAAGGGTCTCTCCTGGCATAGTCACCATGGGTGTCCCTGCCCAAAGGACATCCATCCCTGTGGTGTGCCCATTACAGAGTGGAGTGTCCAGGCAGACATCAGCCAGCTGGCCTCTCCTGACATGTTCCTCTTTAGGAGCAACAGGAGAAAAAATGATACGGTTCTGGGGAAGGCCCATGTTTTGTGCATATTGTTGAATATTGGGCTCTCCTACTGCTGGAAAACGCAAGAGCCACAGCACACTATTGGGAACACGTTTCAGAATATTTGCCCACATCTGCAAAGTAGAAGGGTCAATCTTATATAATTGATTAAAGTTACAGTACACGATGGCATCTTCTGGTAACCCATACTGAGAACGTGTGGTTACAATAATGGTACGGGGCACCTCCTCTCCAGTTGCAGCCTTATTGTTGATCTGTGTAGTTGCCAGTCCATTGCTAATACTGAATCCATTAATTGTTATCTGAATTTGTCCCCTGTTAATCATTTCAATAACTGCTTCTGCAATGGTGTTCATGGGAATGACAGGCATATTAAGAGCTGTGTTACTGCTATCTGCGTTGTCTCCTCCATCAGGACATTTCATCTTGACAATTTTCACATCTGGTAGACTATCAAGAAATGCTTTGAGATCGATGCCATTCAGAACTATCCGATTGTAATAAATGTGGCCATTGGACTTAAAATCGATGACTGCTTTTTTCTTCAGATGAGGGAACATATTAGCATGATCACCAATAAAGAAAGTATGGGGCATGTAAGCCAGTTTCTTAGAATACTGCTCAGCAACTTCAGCTGGTGAAGTTTCCTGATCAGTGATGATATAATCCATGAAAAGTGCACCACTAGTCCCAGGATATCCCAGCCACATTGCCTGAATAGGAGCTGGCCTGAGAGCAAAGAGCTCATTTCGAGCACCCTTGGTATAACCATTCATATTTACAAGAATATGAATTCCATCCTGATGGATGCGATCAGCTGCTTTTCCATTGCATGGAATCTGAGAAAGATCAATGAAATGATTGGCTTCTGCCATCACCTTTACTCGAAAGTTTGTGCCATCATCTGGACTCAGGGCATAACAGAATACCTCAAATTTATCAGGATTGTGCATGCCTGGAATAGACTGCATAAGGTGAGAAGTAGGATGATTCCCAAAGTCAGAACTCACATATCCTACACGCAGTCGACCATCACTGAGCTTCAGGTCTTTTGGATGTTCATATGGTGGTTTATGAAGGACATTAATCTTATCCAAGCAGAGGTTCCCATGCCTCTCAGCAATAGCCTTCCTGAAGCCATGAGAAAGAGGATACAACATACTATGATGAGGATGCACAGAAGGTAACCTGTTCTTCTCTAACTGGTCAGCCACAATACTGACCAACTTCTTCATTCGCTCATCATAGTCTGTCCAATCACAGACAATCTGTAGGCAATGAGCCAAGTTACAATAAGCATCAGGAAAATCAGGCTTAAGTTTCAGAGCTGTGCGGTAAGAAGCTATTGCTTCTGGAATATTCCCTGAATCCTTGTGAATGGAAGCCAGATTGCTGTGGGCATCTGCAAATGCAGGGTTAATCTGGATGGCACGAGTATAACACTGCAAGGCTCCCTGAACATCCTGCATCTCCTTTAGAGTGTTTCCCATATTAGAGTAGGCATCAGCAAAGGTAGGACTTATTCGAATAGCTTCCTTATAATGCATCAGAGCTTCCTGCAGCTTGCCCTGCTGCTGTAGTACACTTGCTAAATTTGAATGGGCAGCAGCAAACTCTGGGAAGACTTCTAATGCTTTACGATACAAGCGAACTGCCTCTTCAATGTTTCCCTGTTCTCGTTTGATATTGGCTAGGTTATTCAGAGAGTCTGCATGGGTGGGACATAGACGAAGAGCTGTGTTATAGCAATCTTCTGCTTCAGCAACACTGCCCTTCTCTTTGAGAGCATTGGCTAGGTTGCAGTAAGCATCAGGGAAATGTGGTTGTAGTTCAATAGCTCGCCTGTAGGTGTCTATTGCCAAATCTATCAGGCCTTGCTCATAGTATACACAAGCCAGGTTGCCATGATTTGGACTCAAGCTTAGGGCACGAAGGTAAGCTGCCACAGCTCTGTCAAAAATGTGTGCCTCTTTCAAAACATTTCCTAAATTGATATAAGCATCCAGAAAATTTGGGTCAAGTGTAACAGCCTTTTCAAAGTGATGGATTGCAAGCCAAATTTCCCCTTGTGCATTGAAAACACAGCCAAGATTACTCCAAGCTACTGCAAAGTTCGGTTGCGTCTCAATTGCTTTCAAATAACATGCCTTGGCTTCTTCCAAGCGACCCAGGGCTTTAAGCAGGTTCCCCAGGTCACTGCGAACACAGTACAAATCAGGATTGTACTGAAGAGCAGAGACATAAGCTTGTACTGCTCCTTCCATATCACCTGCTGCTACCAATGCAGCTGCTAGGTTAATATAACCATCGATGAAATCAGGCTTGAGACGCAATGCATGTCGATAATGTTCAATTGCTTCCTGCAATTGCCCTCTTTCCTTGTACACATTCCCCAAATTCGAATAGGCTTCTGCCAGAAGGGGGTTCTGTTTAATTGCCAGGGTGCTAAAGTGAGCAGATCTGTCCAGCCTTCGACACTGGAAGTGTATAGATGAAAGCAATAAAAGCACACCAGTATTGTCTGGCTCTTGTCTCCAGAGCTGCATGCAGTGTCTTTCAGCTGCCTCAAAATCTCCTGCCTGATATTCTCGATGTGCCAACTCAGCTAACCCTTGGAAGGAAAGCATACGTTTCGTTGGTTCTGTGCTGTCGGCCACGTTGCCCACGGAAGACGCTATCTGGAGCTTCTTGAAGGAGAGCAAGAAGGGGGTAATTGACTCCAACTGCTGCCACTACTGGCAAGAATGTTTCTGGAGGTAGTAGGAAGAGGACAGCAGCTATATCAGTGTTTTGGAAGGTTTAAGAGGCGGCAGCAGTTAACAGGCTTCGAACCTTGGGAACTCTAGTTGGCCATCTACCTCTCACGGTCTTGAAATCTATCTATAGTTTCTTTATTCAGCTTTTGTTTGGAAGATCTGTCCAGTGGTGAGAGAGGTGTATTGAAGTCACCCATAATTATTGTGTTGTGGTCAATTTGTCCCTTGAACTTGAGGAGAGTTTGTTTTATGAACATAGCAGCACCATTGTTTGGGGAATATAAATTGATAATTTTTATGTCTTGTTGGTGAATGGTTCCCTTTAACAGTATATAGTGTCCTTCTTTATCCCTTTTGATTAATTTATGCTTAAAGTCGATTTTATTTGATATGATTATAGACACCCCTGCTTGCTTCCAAGGTCCATGTGCATGGTATGATTTTTCCTAGCCTTTCACTGTCAGCCTGTGTGTGTCTTTTCCTATCAGATGAGTCTCCTGAAGGCAGCATATTGTTGGATCTGCTAGCCTATGTTGTTTAATTGGTGAGTTTAAGCCATTAACATTTAGAGTTACTTTTGATATATGGTTTGTACTTCCAGTCATGTTTGTTTATTTATTTCATTATTTTTAAAATTTGGTTTGTTTTTCCTCTTTGATTAGTTTTTCATCCCCCCACCCATCTTTACTGAGGTACATCCCACTGTTGTTTTTTGTTGTTGTTTTTCATTTCCTCTTCGTGTAGTGTTTTGCCCAAAATGCTTTGCAGTGCTGGTTTTCTGGCTGTGAATTCTTTTAACTTTTGTTTATCATGGAAGATTTGTATTTCATTGTCAAACCTGAAGCTTGGTTTTGCTGGATACAAAATTCTTGGTTGGCACCCATTATCTTTCAGCATTTGAAAAACGTTGTTCCAGGATCTTCTCGCTTTCAGTGTCTGTGATGAGAAACCCGCTGTTAACCTAATTGGTTTACCCCTAAATGTAATATGCCTCCTTTCTCTTGTAGCTTTTAATATTCTCTCCTTGTTCTGTATGTTGGATATCTTCATAACAATATGTCTTGGAGTTGGTCTATTGTGGTTCTGTTGTTCGGTGTCTTGTAGGCTTCTAGGATTTGTACATCATCCTCCATTTCATTTTTCATGTCTGGAAAGTTTTCTAAAATTATTTCATTTAACAGTTTCCTCATTCCTTTGCTTTGGACCTCTATACCTTCCTCTATCCCAATGACTCTTAAATTTGTGTTTTTTTTATGATATCCCATATCTCTTGGATGTTTTGCTCATGACTTCTTACCAACCTTTCTGAGTTGACTAGACTCTTTTCAAGATGATATATTTTGTCTTCGTTGTCTAATGTTCTGTCTTCTACTTGGTCTACTCTACTGGTTATACTTTCATTTGATTTTTTAATTTGGTTTATACTTTCTTTCATTTCTAGGATTTCTGTTTGGTTTTTTTATAACCTCTATATTCCTGTAGAGTTGATCATTTGCTTTTTGAATTTGTTTGTCTAATTCATTGTCGAAGTGTTCTTTCATTGCTTGCATTTGCTGTCTAATGATTTCTTTAAGATTCCATTCCATCTGAGTCAGGTATGCCTTGAGTTCTTTATTTGAACTAGCATCTCCTGTAAATTTAAGCTGTCCTGCATTGTTTGTGTTCCTTTTCTTCCTTTTTTCATGGTGCTCATGTTTCTTTCCAGCTCTGTTTGACTGCTGTGTTATTATTTTCTCCTATAAATTTGTTTTGGTTTTGTATAGCTCTGAGATCTCTCCTTTGTGTTGGGAGACAATGTTTAGAGATGTTGGATTTAATTGTGATTTAAAGTAAATTCATTAGTTTCATTAAAGGCCTACAGATTTTGATGACATATAGAGAATTAAGGTTTAAACTTAGGATTTTATGTTAAGGTCGCTGTATGGGAGAGGGGCTGAGTGTCATACACCTGTTCTGTCACTGAATTTGCTGCGATGGGGTCATCTGATGGAAGCTGGTGATGGTGACGTCAGCTCCCCAATATGGTGGCTGATGGCTTCCTCGGTGGGGTGTCTGGTATGCAGGGCAGATCTGGACCGTTTCTCTCCCCCATCTCAACCCCAGAACCCAGCCTGGAGCACTGTGAGGGCACAGTTGGCAGGACCCCACAGAATCCGTAGCACCGTTTCTCTGCGTTGCTGGCATGTCGGCGCACAGGCTCCAGCTACAGGGCGAGCCGATGATCAATCAACCTGAATCTCCAGGCGCACGGTTCTCTCATGATTGATCCATGATCACTGATCCTTAGGTGTTAAAATTCTTCCTCTAGATTTCAGTGTACCCCAATTTTGGTGAACATTCCTAACAAGACAGCTTCCGGCCATTCTAAACTTGCTAATCACCTGCGCAGTGACGCGGGACAGGTGTAGCACTCCATTCCCCGCCATCTTCCTGCAAAATCCTGCCACAGACTTTCCATCCTCCCTCCTCAGCCTCCTGAGTTGCTGCAATTATAAACAAGTGCCACTGCACCCTAATTTCATAATATTTTCTTAATATCCTTTTTATTTCTGTAAAGATGATAATAATGGCCCCACTTATATTTCTGATTTTAGTTTCTTTGATCTTCCTTTTTTCTTAGTCTAATAAATATTTGTCAATTTTGTTGTTTTGAAAGAATCAACTTTTATTTAATTTATGTCCACTCTAGCCCTTATTAATTCCTTCCTTTGGTAGCTTTAGGTTTAGTTGGGCTGGAGCTACCTAGATGCCTTTTCACAAATGAAATAAAGTACAGAAAACTTAAATACCTTTTCTGTATTCTAATAGTGGAAGTTTAGATAGTTGATTTGAAATGTTTCTTCTATGCTAACATAAACAATTACAACTTTGAATTTGCCTCTATGCACTACTTTAGCTTAAAAAAATTGGTATGGAATGTTTTCACTATTATCAAATTGTTTCCAAATTTCCCTTAGGATTTCTCCCTTAATCCACTGATTACTGAGGAGTGTGTTTAATGTCCACATACCTTATAAATTTCTCCCAAGTGTCCATTACTCATTTCTAAATTTGATCCAATGTGATTAGTATATACTTATACCTTACACACATCGCCTCTTATCCTTTAACTCATCTCAAGATTACTTATAATACTCATACAATGTAAAATATATATAAATAATAATATTCACTCTACTGTGTTGTTTAGTAAATAATGACAATAAAAAAGTCAGAACAGACGCAATTTTTTCCAAATATTTTTAATCCATTTTAGGTTGAATCAATTGATTCAAAATTGATATATAGAGGAATGTATGTAAAATATCTTTCCTCACAATTCATTACTTCCTTCTTGTGATATATATTTTCTAGTATACCAATTTAATTCACTTGTTTTTTTTTTTAAATATTTCTTCACATTATTTTCTTGGAGGTTTTTTTGGGAAATTGCTATTAACATCACAACTTATAAATATCTCACTAGGATTAATACCATCTTAATTTCAGTAGAATATAAAAACTTAATACAGGTCCATTCTCCTCCCCTTTCTTTATGATATTGACATAATTTTATAACTATAAGCCCATTAATATATTCTTTTGATTATCACTTTATGCAATAGTCATATAGGAGAGAGAATGGGTTACAAAAATAATTACCTGCATACTTACCTTTGCTGATGTTCTTTAGGTCTTCATGTGGATTTGAGTTACCCTATTGGGTCCTTTCATTTCATTCTGAAGGTTTCCTTGCAGAGCAGATCTGCTAGCAGTGAATTTCCTGTTTTTGTTTATCTGGTAATGTCTTCCAATTTTTAAAGAACTGTTTTGCTAATATGGAGTTTTTTATGTACCATTTTTCTATAGTACTTTGAATATGAAATTTCCCACCCTTCTGGCCTTTGTGGCTTCATGAGACATCAGATGTTAAATTTATTGAGGAGTTATCATATATGATGAGTTGTTTCTATCTGGAAGCTCCTCAAGTTTTTCATCAAATTTGTGGACTTCTCAACAATTATTTCTTAAAATTTTCTTTCACCTTCTTCCCTCTCTCCTCTCCATCTGGAACTGCTGCTGTGCTTCTGTTATGCTTGATGGTGCCCCACAGTCTCAGAGCTTCTAATTCTCTTTATTTTTATTCCCTAGTAAAAATATTATTCTCATGCTTTTCTTTAGCTCTTTGAAAATGGTTTCCCTTTAGTTTTTTTGACATATTTAAAATAGATGATTTCTTATCTTTGTTTACACAAGTCCAACATCTAAGCCTCCTCCTGGACAGTATTCATTGACTGCTGTTCTCGTTTATATGGGCCATTCCTTCTTTGAATGAAAACTGTTATTCTTAAAATATACTGTGGGAGGGCTAAGATTGCAGCTCACTGGTAGAGCACTTACCTAGCATGTGTGAGGCACTGGGTTCAATCCTCAGCACAATATAAAAATAAATTTTAAAAAAGGTATTGCATCCATCTACAACTAAAAAAATTTTTTTGAATATATTGTGGGAACTGTGGAAAACAAATTGTCCTCTATTTACTAGGGTTTAATTTCTTTTTCCATTTGTTGCTTCTGTTATGGTCATTACTCTTAAGTGTGTTTAGTGACTTAACCACGTAATTCTATGTGGACTGTATTCATTGTCATGTGTTATGTGGAACATTCCCAGGAATTTCTGAAGCTATGGACATTTGATTCCCCAGCTTTTCCATTAAAATTTTGCTCAGCTTGTTGTTTGCTCCACCTTGTTATCACCATCTCAAGTACCTGCCTGTTAAACAATTGCCCTCAAGGAAATAGTACTATATGACCTCTGAGTCAGATCAAACAAAGACAAGCCTTGTGAGGAAGTCTTCCAAGGAACTTCAAGACAGGTCAAGACAGGCAATTTTCAGGGAACTGGACTTTAGAGCAACTCCAACCCCATTTTATCCCTCCATAGTCTGCTTGTTTTCATTCTGGTTGCAAACTTTTTTTTTAAGACCTGTCTGGAAAAAGGAGAATGGAACTAGGGATATAAAAGATACTACAGAGCTTGCTGTTCTGAGATCTGAATCATTTTATCTGAAAAAGTACTCTGAATTGGTGTAAGCCTTTGCTTTTTGTTTTTGGTTTGTTTGTTTGTTTTTCCC